GCGGGGCAGCGGCATATTTTTATATTCTATCTTTCGGATAAGTTTGTAACTATAGAAAATGAAGTTCTTATGCTCTTCGGCAAAATTGATGTTCTTAACTAAGAGCTAGACCTCAAAATGGGTCATAAACCCATTTCTTAACTCATATATCAAGTAAATGGATCATAAATGGGTTAGTTATATTTAGTAAATGGGTAGAAGTCTAATATTAGTATTAAATGGGTCGTAAATGGATCGTAAATGGGTCATAAATGAATTTACAACTGATTTAAACTCAACTAATCTCTCCCGCCCTTACTCAACCTTGCGCTAACTCACATTTGCACTCTCTCAATCTCGGAATGGGCATCACAGCATTTTCCAAAATTTAAGATTCAAAAATGGAAGTAAGTTTTAAAAATGTATCATAATGGTTTGATCGAGTAAATCTCTAAGTGGGTATAACTGGCATTTGGCACAACTTTTGGGTCATATCGTGCAAAACTTTGCCTCCAGTCTGATTGATCATCGAGAAATACAAATCAGGGCTGATAAGTTGGGAAAGGGGCATATATATATTAGGTCGGACCATTTATGATCCGACCCAAACCCGACCCGACCCACCCATTTGTACTGGTCTACTAAAAGCTAAGGTTCTTATTGAACCTTTGTCAAATGCCTTAAATAATCAGTTTTGGATGTGAAATAAAGGTTAAATGTTAAGTTACATTAGGGATGATCGATTCCTGATCCAGTCCAGTCCGACTCAGGAACTAAGAACCGGACTGGGAGGATCGGTTCCTATTTTCGCGGACCGCACCCCGTCGCCCCGGTCGACCGCGACGACCCTGGGCGGTCACCGGACCCGGCGGCCGTTGGGTCGGCGACCTCCGGCCCCCTCGCCGGCCTTCGCCGATCCGGTCCAATGGAACCACCTTAAGAAGATGATAGAATTCGAAAATTTAAGCATTGCAATGCAAAAAGGGATTATAAAGCTGGTAAAAGAGGAGGAAAAAAAAGGATCCCTTCACTTTAGAGCCTTTTCAGTGAAAAAAAAGAATTATGAAGTTTATTAATGGAAGCTCCTGAATAGGCCAACCACAGCCAATTCACCTTACAAAAACACTTTCTAAGATTCAGAAAATGAGAATTAAGAGCATCACAAAACGTGGATCATAAAGAGTTCCAGATTCAGAAATCTTTGTTAGTGGGCCTTTAACCGCTGGCATTTGCACCAACTTTTGTGTCATATCATGTAAAACTTTGTCTCCAGTCTGATTGATCATCGAGAAATACAAATCAGGGCTGATAAGTTGGGAAAGGGGCATATAAAAAATTTTGCAAAAATCGTCCCAGTCGTGCTCCTTAGAGCAGGATAGCGTTCACATTGGTTGAAGAACTAAATTGGCATATCGTTAAAAGATTTAGGATTAAATTATAAGAACCTCAACTGCCCAATCAGTTTCAAATACGGACCCAAAGTGCCCAATTAGTCTCAAGTAAGAGCTTGAGTTCGCCGACGAGTCGCACCCCTAAGTTACATGACTAATTTTTAGTTACAAGGAACTATTTTTTATGTCGCCTATTTCCATTTCGAGTTTCTCCTTTCATTTTCCTTGTTTCCTCTCTTCCTCGCCCTTGCCATAGGCTAGGTGGCTGGCACGAGCATGGCCCTTGCCAGCCCTCGCGACTAGTTACCGCCGAAAAAAAAAGAGGGAAAAAGGGGCAAAAAGGAAAAAGGAAAAGGAAAAAAAAGGAAAAATTTTAGAATATTAAAAAAATTTGCAAAAATCATCCCAGTCGTCTACGTAGAACGGGACGCGTTCACATTGGCTAAAGGACTAAATTGGCATATCGTTAAAAGGTTTAGGATTAAATTGACATAATTAAAAGGTTTAAGACTAAATTAGCTGTTGTACAATAGTTGAAGACTTTATGGACAATTTTCTTTCTTTCCAATGATTATTGCAATCGATTTTGTTCATCATGAGTGGATTTGATAATTTACTAAAAGTTTGTTTGTTGGTATAAATGAATTATATAAAGTAATAATTTTCTAATTTCTTGTCAAAATTTAAAATATTATTTAATGTTTAAAAATTTCAAAAAACTTATATATGAATCTACATGTCGGCATTTACAAATTGTGAAAGTTTGGGTTGTTTGAGAATGAACAAAAAACAAATCTAATGTGTGCATAGTAAGATTTGAAAAAGGAAATGTTAAAAGTGAAAGCCACTCCAATTTGTTTGACCTTTGTCACCTTGACCAATTTGGCATTGTTCAATGGAACACATTTTTCCAGAAAAAATTAGCAAAGATTTACCAGTAGTCTAAAGGTATACGTTAAATTTCAATGTGGACTTTTTTGGATAATTTCGTTCGAAATTATTAGCGTGCCAATACAACCGGCTATCCTCCGTGGCACGCTGGCAATACGAAGTGGACAAATTTACTCAAAATGCGGTCTTGATTTTTTAATTTTTTCCTAACTTTCCAGATTTCTTTTCTGTTCTTTTCTTTGCTGTTACTGTTCATCTTCTTCCCCGGGTTACCTCGTTACCGTTCTTCCTGCCATTGCCGCCGTCTCCACCTCCGCCACCCACCACCCCTGCATCTCCCCAGTACTTGACTTCACCCCTTGCCACGCCTTACACAACGGGTTGCTCCTAGATTTGAATGGCTCGATGTCCGTCCTCATCGAATTTGGTCAAGAACTGGGCCACGGCCTTCTCCTAAGGATCCCGACGAAGCAGAGGAGTTCGTAGCCAACTCTCTCCGCTGTACTCCAGTATCACAGCGGACTCAGCAACCGGTCTCCCTCCATGGATGAGCACAGAGATCTTCTTGTGAACTGGATTGCACCGTAACAACATATCGTTCTTCTACTCATACTTCACTCCCTTGAGCTTGAGCGCCCATATGACTCTGCAGCTGAAGGGACTAGGCCAAGCTCTAAGCAGCTTCACACCCTCCATAAATCCCAACTCACCAGAACTATTTCCTTGTTTTCTCCGAGTCTAAGCGAAACGAAGACCAAGGAGTCCTGAATTGCTACCGCGGCCAAGCTCAAGCCATCCAGATCTCAGGGCAGCTCGTCGTATTGGGTGTGGCGGGTATTGAAGTCGAGCAGTGGGGAGATGCAGAGCCTGGCGGCGATGGCAGACAGGGCGACAATGGCGGATAAACAGTAACAACGAAACCTAAGGAAGAAGATGAACAGTAAGGAAAGAAAAGAAATAAAAGAAGGAAAAGCAAAAAAAATGAAAAAAATCTGGAAAAGTGAAGAGGAAAGTAAGTAAAACTACCTCGTTTTGAAAGGATTTGTCCACGTCGGATGGCCGGCGTGCTGCGTAGGAAAACTAGTAATGATTGGACCTTCATGTTAACAATTTCATGCAAAATTTGATCGAAATGACTAAATTGAAATTTCATACAAAGATTAGGACTAGATTAAAACAAATAAAAAAGTTTAGTACTATATTAAAATCGATCCAATAGATTTAGGACCGAAATGGTAATATCCTCCACTTTTCCATGAAAGTTGGTAGATTTAGTAGTGAAATTTGGGTTTGTATATTGTCCTAAATAGTAAGCTTTTAATATATACCAATAACTTTCCATAGGTCATATACTAGACTAGATTATGACTTTGAAATTAGAAGAGGACTGAGAAATGTTCAAACAAAGATTAGTATATTCATAGTTTACCAGTAATTACTACTCGAATAGGGACGGACCGTGAAGATTTCACTAGTAGGTGTAGCAAGATAAGAGCATTAATTACATTTACTCATGTAAATAATTGAGCATTTCGCATGATTCTATCTAAAATCATAAATATACAACGAAACTAAAGCTTGACTAGAAAATTATCATTTGTCTAATAAAAATAGAATAAAAACTAAGGCATGACCTGAGTTATATCGTCAAGCATTGTAATTAGGCAAAGTTATCGTAAGGATATTAGTTGGGAATTAAAGTTACAATAATTAGTGTCCCACTCCGATATTGCGCAGAATTGGGTAGGCAATTTCTAATTTCATATCATAATTAGGTCATGTCATAATCATTTTGTGTCAGATTCATGCTAAACGCAATTTGTTCACAAATCTTGTCATAAAATTGAAATTTGACTAAGACTTAGAAGATACAACATTGTTAACACAATTTTAAAAAGAAATTACAAGCTCTCCTGCATAGACATGTAAAATTTGTTCAGAAGTATCTAAACATGTTTAAAAAAATTTAAATGCATCATGCTAAAAGGTTTAACATTTAAATTGCTATTATTTACATGTGTCTAAAGTGTATTGAAAAAAGATTAAAGAGTTAATGTGCATGCAACACATTTATTATTCGTATATAACACGGATTAATTAAGCTCAGCTCGAACGCACAGGGATACAAGATCCTGTCGGATGCACTAGGAACACTACAAAGACTAATTATCATTTGAACAGGAAATTAATTTTTCTGATTTTATGTTGGAGAATAAAAGCTCTAGTCGTAGCATTTCTATTTCTTTCATTTCTCAAAGCCTCTTGCTCATATCACTCATCAAAGAGTGAAATGATTTTTGATCGAATGACCCTTCATCTATTGTATTTTCACGTAAATAGCAACAAGAAAGTTCAATGAAACAATGGTGGTTCAATTCGATGTTGTACATGGGAAAATGTGAATATAGGTGTGGGCAAAATACACCTTATGCACCCGTTTGTAACTTTCTTTTCAACTCTTTCCACCTCCCAATCGAGACAAGCTACCTTGTTTTACTGGGTTAAGTTGGTCTAGGCTTGTTATAAATGTGAATTCTTGAATAGTTTCTGCTCCTATATTCAAACCAACATTATTATAACATAGTCCGACATGACCGCCGATCAACTTATACAAAAGCGTCCGGTGTCGAAGCGAACTAATTCATGTAACATAGTCCCAACATGGATCGTCGCAAAATGCCCCAACTGTTAGGAAATAGAAGGCCGATAACGCAAATCAACTGAAGTTTAATATTCGTCCAACCATTTGATTAGCACAAGTGCAGTACGGAATACGCAGTACAAATACGTCTCATGTTTATTGGTATACAAAAAACACACATAACCCACTCGCAGGACATGAAAACTTTCTAACGCATGATCCTGCAAGGCCACATTGTTGAGGAGCTAATTGTGGTAATCTTCACGTTCCAAGGCCCACCAAGGATCATCGCCCTGTATCAAACATGGTGATCATCAGTTCAATCAGGAATTACTGAATGGTCAATGTGTTTTGCCGTGTGATTAAAACAATCGGCTTGGTACGCCGTACCTGGCCATCGTCGTACACGCAGGGCTGCGGAACGAAAGAGCGATACGAGTTGTAGTTCGGCAAGTTGTCAGCGAGCGTCTGCAGTGGTGGGAGTGATTCCATGGTCGCTTGAAACGATGACTGATGTCGGACAAAAAAATTTCGTGTTAAAAAACTCTTGAACTACTCCGAAATTTTCGGCAAACAATATTTTTATTGAAACCAGTGAGACTAGGGAAGAAAAATCCAGAAAAGAGGCTCGGTCCTTTCAGTTGTTTACCTCCTGATCTGTGTCCTCTGTCCACTCATGTTGAGAAGCAGCTGCGGTGTCATCAGTTACGCTTGATCCTCCTTCAAAACTAGGGGATATATCCAAGCCTTCACTCGGTTTCCTCTTCAAACGACAAAGGATATAGGGTATCTGCAAATTTGTATAATTGTAACAAAGATTAGAGTCGGTAGAATCTAAAAGTTTCACTTTGAATACAATGCAGAATGTAAATGAAAAACGGAACCTGAAAAATATACGTCACATATAGTCAGAACAAAACAAAATAATAATGACACGATACAAGAGTGTAATTGGGTCATTCTTTTCTTTTTTTAATCGAGCGCAAGGCTGGGCTAAGCTCACGGAACAACGTGCAAATTCCTTGAACCGGTTAAGCGTAGGTTTTTGGCCTATGCAGGCGGTCCTAATTTAGAGCAGTATACATGCAATTGGCGGGATTTGAATGGGTTATCTCCGGTTCCTAAACTATAAATCATGCTCCAACAAATTGTGCCAACCCTAAGTAGTTAATTGGCTCATTTTGTTGGAAGCCGTTGATATTATTTGATAGTTCAAAAGAACCATCATCCTGCTTTCTTTGAGCCTCGCCTAAAACATATATTTTGCAAATGAAAAAGAAATGAAAATTCTTAGATAGATCAAATGGGGAACCTGGAAAGCGGAAGAGTATCCATTAAGAAGTTTGGGATTCATGTGGTATTCATGCATGACCCATCCGGTCTTGGCGCGACCATTGTAAAAGACCAAAATCCTCTTGGTGCCTATTAAAGCCTTGGTGTCTCGAGTTTTTATGTTATCCCTTTGGCAAGTGATCTTCCATTTACCACTTCTTGTTTGCCTTTTGACACGTTCGCTATTTTGGGCTAGGTAAGGAGAAGGGCAAAAGAAGTACCAATCCAACCCATCCGATGGAATATTCGATATTTCTGCACACATGCACAACAAAAGATTTAGGACTACTTATCAAAACACTATAGTGCAAACAATGTATGAACGACTTGTCAATGTGTAATTACTAATATGATAAACGAAATTCTTACTACAACTAAAGTAAAGAGGAAGGAGTAGACGCATGAAACTTACTCTGATACAATCTAGGTAAATCCCAAGGATCGTGCGCATAGAAATCCTCGAGCTCGGGGATGACGCCACCATCGTTGTGTCCAAGTACCTTGCTCATCAAGTAGTTATTGACGAGTTCTTCCTCAGTCGGAAGGAATCTGAATCCCACCTGATAGCGCTCCATACAGAGATTGAGTATGGCTAATTAGCTAAGACAAGTGATATGGTTAGAACTTAGAACTTGAGTGTTTGAGTGAATTTGCGAGTTCATATGTCAATTGGAGACGACAATTTATAAGTGAACTGAAAACTGACTCAACCTTCTGGTTTTTGCTGCTTGCGGGTCTTCCCTTGTGACACAAGCCCCCTTTTTCCCTAAGCCCTTGTTTCTGAAGGGAAGCTAAACACACTTCTCTATCTTCTCCGCGGAGGATTGCAAGAGAAGCTACCGGTGAAATTCCCATTCTATCCCTCCCCAGGAAAGTGCGCCAAGTTGTAGGGACTGTGTTTGTTTGCTAATGCCCATAGAGCTCTGTATTTGGAGAGATTGAGCCAAAGCATGAAAACCTAATGACCAAAGGTCTAAACATTCAAAGCTAAATTCGATCAATAGGTGGCGCCTAGGTAGACTGAGTCGAGTACTGAGCGTATCTAGTCAAGAAGTCCCCGTTCAAGTGTCGCCCGATTTTGGAAAAATTAAAACGGGTTTCAAAGTCTGGATGGGACTAGTTTGCCGCTAGGTCCATGATCAAGTCTAGTCAAAGCCCGTGCATGTATACAATCATGATGTAGGGGGTAGTGATGACCCCCACTTTCCTAGGCGGAAACAATTATTGGAAAAGAATAATATATGAAATTTCTTGGACTGCCATTGCACGTATGAATAATCTTAAAGAAGGTGATTTTTCTAATGATTTGAGCTCGAGACTTTGTGACTTTAACTTACCAAGTTACATGGAAGTAAAAAATTAACTTTTAATAAGTTTTCAGTATGTTCTGTTATTTTTCATACTTCCAAGAAAATCATATGTTTGATGAGCAAATTTTAGAGAATAATCAAGAACGGTTGACTGTACTCCTGTACAATAATCTCCTCTCGTCGCCCACATCAGTCGCCTATGACCTATCAAAGCAGAGCAAAATACACTTGTATCTAAGTATTCAAGGTACCACTACAAGACCATTTGCTAGAATGGTTTGAACAGAACTAGTCATTAATGCTTATGTCACAAGATCTAGTGGGATTGTACTCTGATTACTTGATGAACTTATATTGAGAGCACCGTACATGGGATAGATTTGGACCAAATTGGTCAAGCGTAGCCCTACCCCAAACTGGCTCGGCATTAAGCACGCCCAGGATCATTTTTCACCCATTTCGATCGCGGCCCTCAGGTGTCAATGAACACGTCGCTACAGACTGTAATGAAATCGAATCCATGATTTTAACAGTTTTAAGAAAGCATGCTGTGAAATCTTTCAGATCGGTTATTAAAATGAAACTTCATATCACACGTAGTAAATATGCATATCGTACAAATTACAAGACAATTGATCAGCAAAGAACTTGATGCTATGCCATAAAGGACAAATAGAAACTAGCTCCGGGTTCAAAACAAACTAAATCACGACAAACCTCCCACGGCTCTTGACAACTACACCATTGACTTGTACGCAAGCTGCAGGTACAGGAAACCCTTCATGGTTAGGAATTATTAATGGTTTCAGTCCACTTATCCATAATTATCAATACAAAGCTGCGGACCAATTCAAACGAGACGATCTGTCCCAAGGGACAAATTTTCATCTTCATGGAGAGCTAAATGAGAACACAGAGTCCTCCAAAGATGTTCATCTGCAACAATAAGCTTAAGGCAAATGGTCAACCTGGTTAACCTCTCAAGTGCAAAGTCACCTAATCAATTACCTTTGAGATTAATTGAACAGTCGGTCTATCAGCAAATCACTCTAAGAAATTCCAACTGTATGTCAGTAAACTCAATCCACCTTCCACCGACATTATAGACACCCAATTCTATCATGATCAAGATAGTGAACTCTAGGAGGCATCAAACAGGAATGCAGCCCATACAAATGAGAATGTGAGAGTAAAGTCAAGTCAAGATGCAATAGAATGACAAAAAACTGAGCTAATAAAATTTAACTTACCCATAAAAAAATAGGTGCTATAGACTATAAACTACAATATCTCAAACATATTAGCACCTTTTTAAATTTCACACAAACTCTCTCCTTGCTTTATAAAAAATAGGTCGTCCGCATCATAAAGAAGAAGCTAGTTACATAAAGTGCCTTGGAATATAAACACTCTGCTAATACAACTAATCTCGGTATCACATTATCTGGAATGAACAAGCAACCGGGAATCCACTTTTTGGATCAGAATGGAGTAGCCCCAGGGGACTGACAGACTTGCCACGTAATAACAGAAGCTCAGTAGACTCCTGAATTCACCCCATTTCTGTCGAATTTACATTGCATCCATAGGACAACCGGAACCACCTGAGAGAAGCCGACGGACACCCGAATCTCAAATTTGAAAAACGTTTGCTCACCGCTATCTCTAAAGGGGCAAAAGCACTTCACTTGCTACAGGATGGGATTCATTCACTTGAATTCCTGCTAGAACTACAAAAAGCTCCAGTCTTAATGCACCACTACTGTTGAGCAGCCTTTCCTCGGGTTCATAGAGTCGTCTTTTTCCATTTACCCACAACGTAAGGTAACCAGAAAATTACACGACATAGATTCACAAACTTTGAAGGCATCTTTTTCATCAAGAAAAAATTGGGTTACACAAATATAGACTCAAAATAATAATAAAGAGAAACCCACAAATGAAAAGTACCATAGCAGAGCACATTCTAACTTAAAAGAGACTTTTCAAAGTCCATTTTGCATCTGAGGTGTCAAGCAAGTCCAATCAGCCATGCAGGATTTTCTGTGCGAAAACAAAAATGTATCCACATAGTCAAATGTATAGAACGAAAGAAAAGGCTTGCTTATCTTCAAGTAAATTGCCCAATCTGTTTATATTGATGCCTCGAAAATTATATACTTTGGAGGCATAAGCTAAATTCTCTCACTTCAAATTCATGGTTTGTGCTAAGATTTCTGCAGACAGACTAGGAAAAGGTTCTCCTTATCTAGAGCATTTAGATTACATTATTCATTAGCTGGAAAGCACAGTTGCCTTCAATTTACAAAATTTGCTCCGATCTAATTCTGAGTACCACTCCATACGCCAATGTTTACACTATCACACATTCGAAGAAGAAGGTATCAAACGAAGCTGTGACTTCAGAACATTCAATCCGCCAAACACACTATTCCACCCGTAAATGTGAAAAATGCAAAAACAATCCCGTGCCGAAATTTGTTCACACCATACCCAACAACTAAAAAGCTTTTTTCCTTCGAAACCGTCAAGCTTTCCACCAAATTCATGGTGGATCTATGTTATCAGCATGGTTGTGAATTTGGACACTACAAAACATCGCAACATCAACATGAATGTACAGCACACGATTCAGTACCACGTGTTGAACCCTGTCAAGAACCATTTGGCGACCAACGAACACGAATCGAGACAAGCCCACATTGATTTCATTCCAGTCCCAGAATCATACGAAGTCATACCCACCAAGCACAACAGGGTCGGCAGCCCAATCCACATCCACCCGCGCACCCAGAAATTGCACAGACACGACCGAAACGAACCGACACGACAAGAACTTCCACGAATTAAAGGGACTTCCCACCGGGTCGGGTCGGAGCTCGAGGAGGCGCGGGAATTCGGACAAATGGAGTACTCGTCAATCATTACTTGGAATTTCGCCGAACGTTCGGGTCGGAGGAGGAAGAAGCGCGAGGTTGTCCCGGCCCGTCGCGAGAGGAGGAAATCTCAAGTAATGATGACGAGTGCTTCATGAGCCGAATTGAGTTTCAGCGCAGAAGCAGCAGAGAAGAAGTTGAAGAAGACGAAGACGGCTGAAGAACGAAGCAGAAAACTTGCCACGCTTGGAAATGTAGGGTTTCTCACGTATACCTTTATAGGGGTGGCTACTTATAATTAGGGGTGTGCCGATCCGGTTCCCGTTCCTAAAGTTAAAAGAGGTTCGGCTTCCATTCTTCTAGCCGAACCGACTGCATCGATCCAAGATATTTTTTCTTCAAAAAATTAATAAAATGTAAACTAAATCCTAAGTGAACTTTATCGACATAAATTCTTTGATAAAAATTAGTAAAATGTGAACTAAACTATAAATGAACTTCATTGATATAAATTCATCGATAAAAATTAGTAAAATGTGAACTAAACCCTAAGTATTTGACCAAAAAAACCAAATCCTAAGTGACCTGGTTCTATTAGATCGGACCGGAATCGACCGCGACCGACGGTCCAGCCGCCACGGTTCCCAAAATTGGGAACCGGTTCTCCCGGTCTGGTTCCCGGTTCCACTCGAAACCGGACCGGACCGGGAGCCGATCACCCCTACTTCTCATACTCAAGTTTTGACCCCCACCATTTTAAGGTCTAATTTCAAAATAAAATACCAACTTTATTTTGAATAATAATTCTGTCCCGAATCTTTTTGTTTTCTTATCTCGTGAGAACTAGTCGATTTTCACTTAAATCTCAAATCCGGCCAGACCAATTCGAAAATTTCACGTCATAGGGGCCGGGTTTAGGACTCGAGTAAAAATTGGTACTTTTTGTTAAGATAGAAAAAAGAAAGTTCGGACCAGAATTGTTACTCGAGATAAAATGTGTGCTTTTATTTTTTAAATCAGCCCTACCATTTTACAAGGCGAGCAACCGGGCCAATTTAACCCGAAAATTGAAACGAACCTGTATATATGTAGTGAGATGCAATAGGTGTACAAGAGCACTCAACTAACAAGTTTGTACTAGTCATGAGCCAAAAATGTGTATATATATATAATTAGGTTTCCGAGCAGAAGCAGAGAAGTTGAACAAGAAGAAGAAGGCGGCGACGGCGGCGGCTGAAGAAGGAAGCGGAAGAGGGTTGCTTGGAAAGCTAGGGTTTCTGAGGCATCATTTATAGGTGAGGTTACTTCTGCTGTGCAAGTTTTGGCCGTTTCATTATGTAGCATGGGCACCGGGACCAGTTTAACTTGAGAATTGAATAAAAAAAATAACGCATACATCGATAAGTGCACTAATAATCTTAAAAGTGATAATGAAAATGCAATCGAGTCATAAACTTCGAGTTAAACTTGTCACATTAGTACAATCGAGTAATTCCGTTCAACTTTGCTGACGAAAAATATCGACATGGCTCTTTTTTTATTATTTTCTCTATCCTACGTGGCGATGACATGGCTAAGACATTTTATTCAAATTTGATTTTTAATATAAATTTCATTTAAAGTATATAAAAAAAAGCTAAATTAAAAATATATATTTAAGAAATCAAGCGGCGAGCCGGTGCCCCACCATCGATGTAAAGGCCCTCGCCGGGGTCTTCGGACCCCAGGTTAGTGGCGACCATCCCATAACCTCGTTGGTCCTTCCCAACGAGGGCTTGTAGCCCTCGCCACCTAGTTTCTCACCCCCTCTTTTAAAAAAAAAAAAAAAGAGCTTATTTTTAATTTAATTTAAATAAAAATTGTATTAAAAATCATATTTAAACCAAAACGACGTTATTTTAACCTTATGTTTCATATTTTAACCACTTTATCGCCTTGTAAGAAAGAAAAAATATTATAAAAAATCACGTTAGCATTTTCTTAGCCTAGTTGAATGGAATTAATGGAAGAACTCGATTACATCAATTTGCAAAATTGTAAAACTCAATTACACTTTCGTTACAAGTTATAGAACTTTTAGTTCACTTACCCCCTTATATATATATATATATATATATATATATATATATATATATTATTGGAAATCACATATCTACGTGTATTTCACATAAAAATACGGGTCTTTGACTAATAGAGGTTTGGGGTGGTCCAAGTTCGACCATAGAGAGAGAGGGAGAGAGATTTGCTAATTTCTGTGCTTTGCTTTGGATATTAGCTCAAATACCAAATACTAAAAGATAGAGCTTGATGATGCATGATGACTCGTCTGATTCAAGCAAAATCGAGTGGTTGACTTTGTCATTTATGTCATTACAAACATGAAAAGCCATGGATATCATATAACTTCTAACATCCAAAATCCAATCTACTTTTAATACTCTAGCTTGAACTGAGCTCAAGTGTGAGCCTAAGATGACCTTGACACATCATGATCCATAGTTTGATGAGAAGGTTGATCTCGACTCTCGAGTAAGTCGAATTGTGAGCTATGCGAAGTCCGATCAGACTACTAAACCATAACCTAGCAATTTTGAGCGGGACACAATAATACAGTATATCATGATGCAAACTGGGAAAGGTCCGACAGAAGTAAGAACCTGCCGTTTGATATGAATTGATAACTATTCATGTTCATGCACCAGTTCTACTTGTTCTAACCAGAAAATTTCGAAGCACCAAAAATCTGGCGCAAGGCTAAAATGCTACAGTTCATTCCGTAATGCATCGAAAAGGATTTGCAATTACTGAGAGTAGAACAAGAGATCGTATAATGCAGAACATCCATTTGCTTATGAATTAAAGGATGGGTTTTCATACCCAGATGCAGGGACTGAGGAACACAAGCTTCTGCAAGTTGATATTCACCCACAACAACAGAATTTCTGCACTAGCTTGCAGCTGCTGAAGAATCGTTGAGATCTCTCTCTCTCTCTCTCTTTCTCTCTCTCAGGTGTCAGACAGGGTTAGGGTTGTTCATTCTTGGAACTCTTTCCTTCCACATTGTTTTCTGTAATGTCGCTAGGGTGGTCAGGTCCATGAGGAATCTTTCCAGGAAAATTTGTGGCAGAGGGATCGGATCCAACATTACTGAAAATGAAGATGAAGCAGGGTAAGCAATTCGAAATAGAAGAAAATAAAGGAGCAGCAAGACTTCACAAGCTCACCTCTTGTCCACGAGAACCATTGACCGCAGTTCACAGTTTGCAAAGCTGCCCAAATATTATAGAAGTGTCATCTCATTGCAAGATAATACTACACTACAAGATACATAGATGGCTCTAAAAAACTTCCAACAAAAAGGAGACATGCAGTCACTCATTCATCTCAATCATAACAATGGGATGGCCGAAATTAAATCCTATTGAAGATTAAACGTTGGAGCATAAGGCAATAGAGTTCAATAATTTTCATATTTCTACCAAGGCCAAAATCCAAGAATTAATGAACAGGTAAAACAGATACTCACTGTCTACATATTTCCCCTTTCACCAAGGGGTGACAATCTTCTCCGAAAGAAGTTAACGTGTGACACAAGAAACCACTATGCGTGACAATTGCTATCTCCTTTTCTTTCCGTGTCCACAACCTGCAGAAGTAAATAGAACCATTAAGGCCAATTTTTATTGTACAGCCGAACCAAAAGATAGCTTGCTTAAAATCCTTGCTACCAAAGGAGAAGGCAAGCGGCTTGCATAGTCAAAAGTGTATGCTCTTAATTATTGACCCTATTCAGTTTATCAGCACTCTCCATCCACTAGATACAGCTGTTGGCCCACCATGAAATAAGACAGTACATTTTCGCCAAACTTACTAATCCACGATATCCACATAATACTTAGCTATACCGAGCTACTAGCATAAAAACCCAGGCAAAGCATTATATCAAGTTAAAAGATAAACACTTACATGAAATTTCAATTGTTATTAGCATGAATCTGTTTTTCAGAATGTTGTCCAAGTTGAAATGCTATCTATGTTGTTTTCCACCTCCTTTTGAAGAAAAATATAATTATATTATCATTGTTTTCTAAATTTTTATACGTATCTTTCGAATTAAATATTCTTCCTATTTATTTTCCTTTTGCCATCAACTAAGCATTGTTTCTGAAATTCCCTAATTTTCTGCTGTTAATTTCTTATAGACATATTGATATAGATTTCAAAAGTCAGCTAATCCTCAAAGGGAGTATATTTGATAGTATGACAAATAATATACACAGTCACCTCTAGGTAGTTAAAATGTGGAAGAAGTAAAGTAATACTTATTCCAAATACACGTGTCATTCAGCGAAAGAATGAGGATATGAAATTTTTTATACCATCTGTGGAGATAATAAAAATCTCACAATGGATATACATTTTTAAAATTCACAATCTGATTCATTAAAGAACTCTGAATGCAATTTCATTTTAACGTGGTTCCTTTTCTATGATTAGTATACATTAGTAATTTACTATGTTATATAAATTTCACAAATTCAGGGTTCTTTGTTTATGCTGGATGAATACATGTAGATCACACAAAATACATCTTTCTTCTTTTAACTAGTTTATCCTTATTTGGAAAATAGAAAACACCATAGTATTATTAGTATAATTACATGAAACCCATTTGTCTTTTCTATTCTTTATAGTGCGTTAAGTGGCTTTTCTATATTGGGAAAATTAAATATATGGCATCTAAGTAATTTGCCAATTGTCATCCCACTTGAAAAATCACCAAAGCTTTCAAGATGTAAGATACGGTACTTAGCTATAGTTAGCTACTGTAAGTTGTCTGGTTACAGAAGGCCTATCATAAGTTTATATGGGACCTACAAATCCAACAAGGTAGAAGCACTCAGGCAATTGAAAATTCCTGCCTAAGATTCTGTCATATATATAGCACTACGTCAAACTGGACCGCCATAAAGTCGAGCAAGAATCAAGATTCCAATAAACCATATGTATCGAAGATCCCAGTTGCATCTTCTGGCGTCTTTCTCTAGCCACTTATCATGCTTGACTATATAGAGTAGAGAATTATCCATAGAGCTAATAAAGCATATCCGCTAATTTGACCATATCCAGTTTCGAAGCTGAATTTGGGGCACTTAGGGAAGGTGTAAAAGTATTAATTCAATTAAGTTGCACAATTGCAAGTTGAATTGGATGCCAATGCAATCTTAAACAATCTTTCGTCAAATCTTCTGAACTAATACCTCCAATATTGGATTGCAGGATGGTCATCAACCAGGGAGGCAAATCAAATTGCTGATATGCTAGTTGGATGGGAAGGACAACAAATGAAAGATACCAACTATGGAACCAAAGCCAGGATGAACCTGCATTTTTGGCCAAAGAAGACTTGAAAGGCGCCTCCTTGCTACTAGACTTATTACTATGGACTTGGATATAGCATCCTTAGCCATTGAAATAGGCAATGTGCAAGCTTCAAGTAGCTTATGTGATGGTAGAAATGTATTTTGACTACCGATTGGTGCTGTTTATTTGGCTGTTTTTGCTGGTTTGCTTGAAACTCTGTTCTTCGTTCATTGATGATTATCTCCGTTTAATCGGGGGGAAAAAGGAACATGGTATAATATGATTACATGAGAAAACCATAGGCTGTTGAAACTACTGAAGTTGCAGTTTCATTTTATTATACGGTATATGATAGGACAGAGCTTACAAATAAACGAAATTTCATGCAAATGCGAGTTGGTTTTGCAGCTGTAATCCTGCTCACTGAAGAGTGAGTGGTGTGGCACGCATGTCAAAGCCGAAAAAGTAGTTAAGCAACCACTAACCAGTTGAGGAATTTAATTCCCCTAGCTGCAAGTTCTTCTTTGGTCTCTCTAACATCTGCCTTCCACAAAACATCCTCATCGCTCTGAATCTGCATATAATATGACATAATGACCAAGCTGCCGCAAATTAGAAAGAACAAAAGAAAGCACATAAAGCAGACTAACTTAGCAGTTAGCAGCACCAAAGACATACTAGTGTTATATATAACACAAATATACTGATTTATTTGAGTATATAACAAGTCAAGTACTTTCCAGGGAGAAATCAACTCCTGGAAAAAGAAACTGGTAATCAGTAATACTTCTTCTCTTATCGCAAGGATGAACACCCTGCAATCAGGAAAGGAGAAAAGTGTTTAGAATCCATGCATAACAAAATGCCAACGCTAATAATTGCATTAATCCACTCAGGTAACCGAAAGGAAAACAAATGGAAAAGAGAGTGAGAATGAATCAAAAGTACCTAAACTAGTTAGATGAAGAAACTTAAGTTCTCTAGTACTTGCAAGACAAACTTGCTTATTACAACAAGTTGGCACAAGGACATGATGCATCGAACGACCAAAAGGACATCCTTGACTATGAATGAAAGGAACTAGAGCATTTTTAGCAAAAAAAAAAAAGAAAGGAACTAGAGCATCTAACTGGAAAAGCTTAAGGAGCCATGAATCTATCATTTTCTAGGAAATCATCAAGAAACACTCAGAACAGAATTGAGGAGAGGGTTACAAAAGCATTTGACAGCACCTGAGTTGGCTTTATTGATTGTACTGCCTAATTGAACGAACCTACTAATGATCGTCGGTGCAGTTTTAACTCTCAACTGTGCCATGTCTATCCATCTCTTTTCTTTTGGTTTAGTGAAGAGCTTATTAACAATAAGCCTGCCATGCACAATGTTAAACCACTTAGTTTCCAATCTATGAATGTCATTCTCAGGTTCACCTACTGAGAGCCTTCCCATTTGAACTTGCACTATCCAGATTCCTTAGGCTTGGCTAGATAACTATAGGGCATGGATTTGACAAGATTTTCTTAGAGCAACTGTCTTGTTTCAGGAAAACATGAATTACGAGCATCAGATAGCACTGCCCACAACCTTATGCACATGCAAAGACCAACTCAAACAGAAAAGGCCCACTAATCAACAAGAGGAATCTTTGAGATTTATCCATCCTTATGTCCATTAACTGAAAGCTTTCAATATGCTGAGAACTCTAAAAGAAACTTATGCGCATACAAATATTACGTGTACCATATTCCCAAATAAAAGCATGAAGTGTAGCATTGAGTAGAGCACATTTAAACAATGCATACCAAATGTTGATTGTCAAAAAAAAAACAATGCATACCAAATGTTCTCGGCAAAGTTCTACTGCTACAATTGGTGGAGAGTCTAGACTTGAAATAGCACCACGATCACTATTTCCTGCATTTGCAACCATTAGTGGTAGTATATCCAACCTATCTGTGTAGCCTTCACCACCAAATACTCCAACAGCTGTTTGAAGAGTCCTACAAAGCCATGTTCATAAGAACTGCAAGAATCAAACATCTAATCAAACATTACAAGGGAAATAGAATATTATCTTGTACAAAGTATGTGATGAACAGATATCACATGCTTTACTTAGCTATAGTCAAAGTTAACTTATACAGCACTATATATCGGCTATTGAAGTCAATGAAAGAAGTAGTTGATGCAGGTTTCAAAAGCTCTAACAGAATGCCCATGCACTTCATTCAATCTTTTGTGCCTCCTGTGACATTTCAAGACAAAGTCTTAATCCAGTCAATGTGCCTAGACAGAAGTCGCAGTTAGTCCATTATAATCCTGCTCAAAGTTTCAAGAGGCTAAATTTCATTTCAAGCGACACTACTCAAATGAAATTCCTAAAAGAACGACCCACTTCAGTACATTGACGCTATTTCCCAAGGTCTATACCTAATAGTCCTCATAGAAGACCTGTTGAAATTCAATTTTTCCAAATCTTCACCCTATAGGTCCATTGCTTCTATTTATACGGATGATTACCTGTTTTTATGTTGACCTTTTCAACGAAATGATTAGCATAACTATTCTAATTCAATGTTGAACACTTTTTCCCTAACTAACAGATCACGATACAGAATCCACAGCAAGCAGAAATAGAATTACTATCAGTTCCAGCATACGAAAGAAGTCATAAATCAGTCAAAAAGCACAAAAGCACTGGCAGCAGTACCTCAGCAAAGGAGATGTTATGACTAAATCAATCTTCTTGGAGAGTCCACATGCCCGAACATGCTTCCTCAGATTATCAACCTGAGCAGCACAGCAAAGCACAACAGTTGTTTTTCTAAGATGGGCAATTCAGTCCGGAATAATATGAAATGTACGGAAATGCAGAGGATTCTTACTGGAAAATAATATTGTTGAAAGCAAAATTACCTGCTGCCAACCTAATGGGGTGAGATGTGCATCAAAATAATCCGGATTCATGTAGGTTTTGTAGTTCTTATCTCCTTCTACATTGTGAATCCCCTGTCCATGCCTCACCTGGATGTGAAGTTTCATAACATCATATTCTCTTCAATGCATTGCAAGAAAATTCACCAAGAGGGATACAATGACGTCCTTCATCAGGCGTAGCAACTTCAAATCCAGAACTGACACAATATATATTTGAACAAATGAATTTGACACCAACCAGGTGAAGAGTTTTGCAGCGATGGAAAGGAAACAAGCTAGGTCCTGAAGCTCCCTCCATTTCTGCCATAGATTGTTTACATGCAAAGGAAGCAACAACTATGTTGATAACAATGACAAGCAAGTTACTGCATTGACAGTATATATGAAGTTATGAGGAGAGAATAGGCCCTCCAAAGTTGTGCCCCAAGTAGGAGCAATTCAGAGATGAAAAAAAAAAAAAAGCGGGGAAGTTGAAGAAAAAACCCACTAAAGAACTCGTAAAATATGATATCAACTAAGAGCAAACAAGAGGAGGTTAAAGTCCACTACGAAACTCGAAAAACGACACATCATTGCAAAGCATCAGATCATGTCAACTGTCAAGAGCTTCACCAGCACTACTCTTGCATCATGGACAAAAAAGAATCAATGCTTCTGACAAGCCACAAAATTTGAACATGTTTTGTTATCAGCTCCCAAATGGGTCTGAGTCTGGCTCAAAAGCTAAAAGAATCACACCGAGTAAAATTACATCAGTCCCAGTTTGAGCTCATAATTAGCCCACCATTCTTTTTCCATAGAAATTCACTTGTGCTACCCAATTTGAACTCCCAACCGATGATGCCCCTCCCTAAAGATGACAGAATTCGTATATGCCATGCTAACAACAGAGACAAAGGAAGAGAGAGTCCACCACCATCCAAACGAAGCACCAGAATATGCCGTACAACTGGGTCGACAAAACGAATTAAAAAAAGGCGGATTCAAAGAGCCTACTAGTTCACCCATCTATCGATCGAAAGACAAGAAAGAAAGAAAGAAAAACAAAAGTCAAACCAAGAAAGACCACGGAAGAACACGCCACGGATGAGCAAAGATCCCAGGGCAAGAGACCGTGGAATCAAGAACCCATCAAACCCATCTTACCGGAAGGAGACGAGGAGCAGCAGCGGACCGAGAGAGACGGCGGGAGGAGCCGGCGGCGGCGGCCTTGCGCGGCGGAAGTAGCGGGTGATGCTGCTGCTGCTGCTGAAGGAGGAGAAGGAGGAGAAGAAGAAGAGAAGAATGGGGTTGAAGTGGAGCTGCGAAAGGTGATGGTGCGGGGAGTTGGGAGGGATATGATTGGCGAGGGAGCAGCCAGAGGAGACATCAAACGACCGGAGAGAAACGAGCGACTCCTGTCGCCCGTTCCTTCGTTGGGACGTGATTGGTTCGGCCTTTTGGCTTCTTGCCTGTTGAGAAAATTTCCGTATTTATCTTGACTTCTTGGAATTGAGATCGATATTATTTTGTCTTCCACGAGGCGGCGATTTTCGATCCGACATGGCGAACTTGCGCAGCCCGGGATTGGACTAAATGAGCCGTGCTCGGGACTTCTTGACCGCTAGCATCTCGATGATGGAGGGGAAGCGCTTTGACGGGCTCGCCATTTCGACTAATCCGTATATTTGCGAGACTTTTCTGATAATTGCTCAAACGGACCGCTAGCAGTGGTTAGACATGTTAGAATGGGGCATAGACCTATTTCATAATCCATAATTGATGGGCTGCTGGGTTGTCATATAGATTAATTATATTCGATAAATGGGTCATAAATGGGTTTAGAATAGTAAAACCTAAAATAATATGAGTATTAAATGAGTTCACAACTTACATAGACCTAATCCACCTTTACGACTCTCTCTCGCCCTTCCTCGATCTCCCGCTCGTTTACTCCATGCTCTCAGCTCAATTTGGATACGATTAAAAATAAAAGTGTTTTATCAATATGTGTCGGGTCGGGTTTGAGTTGAGTCGAGTATGTGTTACTAGATTTATATTGTATGAAAATTGATCAAAACGGATTAAACGGGTCAATTTGAGCCGAACCAAACCCGACCCTACTCGTTTAACAGGTCTAGCAGTGGTCGTCCCTCCCCGGCCTTTTACCTATTAAAAAAAAATCTCATCTTCTTTCCACTAAAGTGAATTGCGATAATAATAAATCATTGGTTTCATGCGATTTACATCAGTCCGTGGAATTAGGCAGTGCAAATTCATTTTAGTACATCTAACATATTTTATCCAATAATTTTTCTTTGTTTTGTAGGTGATACGATCGATAAAATAAAACCAATCACAATGTAGGAATCGCATGGAAATTCATGCTTCTAGCCGGACTCGATGTAGATCTTACGTAACCTTGATATGCGATTGTCTTGATAAGGTCAGGGCTTTCACCAAAAGCCTTCCCAGATGATCCCAGTTGCTGCTGATGAATCTACCTTTGCCAATCAATTGCAAGTGCTCCTTGAGAAAACCCTAAAGAGATCATGTAATAGAACACTTTTGTGTCCCATTTAAATCCTTAACTAAAGTTGTACAATCGAAGAACCGACGTAACACATTGCACATTCGAGACCATGGGTAATCTAAGGTGCATGGCACATTGCGCGATTTCGTCGAAAGCTACGAAAATGCTTCTGGGAGAATATACCGTTTTTCTACGTTATGTTCATCTTGAGCCAAATTTCATGGACAGTCGGTGATCGATTGTAGGGAGGCTTCTATCTCGACTCCTCGTTTATAAGCATGATTGAGCACCCAAATTCTGTTCAATAAAGGTATGAAGCGACGGCGTATTACAATTCGAGTCGGAGGAGTCTGAATTCGATCAATTGCCAGGATCAACTAACTAAATCGTTAGGTAAGTCCTCCCATGAATGCTCCAATGCTAGTGACAATTAGTTTGCAGTCACCGCACAAAAAAAACCACCGCTATTACCAAGTGCTTATACGTCTTCCTTTTCCTTTCTTAAAAACTATCGCGGTAAATGTACTTCTGAACTTTTGTTCAACTCAAATTACCTTAAAGCCTTCGGAATACACGAATTTTGACATGCAAATTTGTTTATGATTTTTGAAAACAAATTAAATTTAACATGATGTTTTAAGTTTTGTTGGAAAAGCCACTAATTAACTTTGCAAATATAAATATGGGGTTGACTTGTGGAATAAGGAAATGAAAAAGTCAACGACTTTAAGTTCATAAAAGGCCATTTTCAACTCCTAAAACGTCCTAAGTAGCCCTCCAATTTGCTAGCTCAAAACAATAACATGGCAGCTAATCAGAAAATGGCAGTGCAAAACAATAAAAAAAAAGCAAGCTGACAGCAGCTAGGTGTAGAGTAAAATGCTCAAACTGAGAGGCACTCTCAAGGGATTATAATGTATAGAAATCCTCTGAGGGGTTATCCAGGATTCAACTCTTCAAAGAGAAGCTAGAGCGGATGATGTTATTGCTGGAGATGATTGGTGTTGGCCTGCATCAAGATCTGAGGCCACTAGTTGCAATTCAATCTGCTATTCGTGGTTTTATGGGCCCTGATCCTGCTCCGGCAGACAGAGTGATCTTCTCGTGGCCCAAATCTGACTACGGTTTTTGGCATAAATCGATCGATCTGGTTTAAGCCAAATGTTGCTGAACATGGTTTTTATCAGGTAGCTCGCGGACTAAAGACCCAATGAGAAAGTGGTGTATTGTTGATGAAATATGACCTTCTAAACTGCCCTAGGCTCGCTTATTGAAGTGGAGCCAACTCTTTGGGTACAGTTACAAGCAATCTGAGCTTCACCCTTTCTTACAAATTGCATCAGTCTGATACATTCAACTCACTTTTGACATACTTCACAATTACAGCTTGAATAAGCAATTATTTGTGTCGTAAGCCCTCCAAGACCTTAGCAGTCTCATTCACATAAAATGACTCCCAAACTGGCTTAGACAACCTACAAAATGTTGAGTTTTCAACCTTTGTGTAATGTAAATGTCCAGACACCTATTTTCGAGCCCTCAAAATTGCGCCCCGAACGTCCAATGCACTCTGGAAACTGGTCACACTCCCCGTCCACAAGTACCGGATGTGCAATTCTCAATCGCTAAAAGTCGGACGTCCGGTTCGCATGGCCCGACGCTCGATTCTGAACCACCTTGATATGCTTCTGGTATTCCAAACCCTCTTCCTTTTTTCTTTTTTCTTTTTTCTTTTTTCTTTGTTTTTGATAATCCGGACTCCAATGACCAAATTTCGCAACAGGCACCAACCGCCATGCACTAACCGGAAGAGAGCTCTAATCTGGCCCCACAAACTAGCCTCCATGTAAAGAAAGAGTATTATGCCCTCTTCCCTTTTATTGGGCATAAAAAAAAACCAAAAAACCCAAGAACTGTTATATATCTGGACATAATGTCAATTTTGAAAATAGTTGTTCTTCTTTTCATTTAAATGTGTTTTAGGGTATTGCTAAATACATTCGGACTATCTCCATCTTTTAACGAAAATTGGAAAAAGTGGAGCATACTGTGATGGAAAATATATCCTGTATGGTAAAGAAGTAGACAGGCCAAGAATATTATAGGGAGATGTTTCATGGCGTTGTTCTCGTGGACTGTAGCCGTTGTTGGTATTATTGCTTGCTCCAACGCTGTTCTTTGGATGGCACAAAGTCAGCTATTTCACATCGTGCGCGTTGACACAGAGAGAGAGATTCAAATTGGACATGACAGAATCAAGAGACATCAAACCAAAGAAAAGAATCAATGGATATTGTAGGAAAGAGCAAGAAGAGACACCATTGTTCCAACATAGCCCAGACAGTTTCACTCAAAATACAACTGGAAGGGTAGGTTTCCTGGTGTTAAAAACAACTGAAAGGTGTACTCTTACTGAGAGAGAGAGAGAGAGAGAGAGAATGAACTATGGATCACTTACAATACTAATGTGACTATCAAAGTCAACCAAGTGCAAACAAATTCACGTTTGCATTGTGTATTCGGATTTTGACTTGTCTTTTACATAAAGAAAGAAGGAAAAGTGTTACATTTTGTACATTGTGATTAATGATTGCTTCATTGGAATTGGAGTGGGAAGCAAAGAAAGTTGATCGGATCCAAAGAGTAAAGTTGAGTAGAAATGGCTACAAAATGTATAGATACAGGGACACAGGCGGAGGAACCTAAAGAGACATGCCTTTATAGAGTTCATTGAGCTCGGTTTCTGAATAAGAGGAGGACAATCGAAAACAAGAAAATGAAGATGAAAACCGCGGATGCTGTTCAAATATTGGCATTCATTGCTGGATTTCTCCTCGTTTTCGATGTTGCTGAAGGCGATCCGAACACAACTGTGGTGTACAAAATCTGCAACGGCATAATTGACCCAGGGGGCGACAGCTTTGAGTTTAATACACTGACGGTTCTTGACAATTTAGAGAGAAATACGTCCAGTCATGGTTATAACTACTATAACGCATCTCCGGATGGTGACGGCACCAAGTGCTACGGCCACGCAAATTGCAATTCCAATCTTTCGAAGCAGGATTGCCATACGTGTGTATCAACCGCTAACATATTCATACTTAACGAGTGTTTTCTGAGCAATGGCGTTCAATTTCGGTCAAAGGATTGCAGAGTTAGGTATGAGCAATACCCGTTTACTGAATAAGTTATAAGTCGCTCTCGCACGAATTTGAAGTTTGTATGCAAGATGTTGAATGCTGGCAAGCTACTGGAGTTTGTTCAATAAAGAGAGTGCTTCTCGTGGATGTTGAAAGCTAGAAAACATCGTACAATGCCTTTGCTTTCCACGTGAAAACATTTTTTTTTCATTATTTTTCAATTAGTATTTTGTCATTTTTGCTAGTGTGGCAGTGCCAACCCGGCACGTCACCACGTCAAGTTGATGTGAAACGCGACACCGATAGTACATACAGAGGGACCGCAGATGAGGATGGTAACCCTCCCTCTCCTTTGGCAGAGGGGCGAGGTGACAGACATTACTCTCTCCCGTTTGATCACTCGATTTTTTCTTTTTTTGTTCTGATGTGAGCTGCCACGTTAGCGCCATCTCATCACTCTACGACAACTTTTGCCACGTCGACTTAACATAACCACTTCAGCAGAATTGATGACAAGTACCGGAAGAACTCAATTGGAGAACAAGAGTTCAAAATCGAATTGCAGACATAAAAAGAGGGGGAAAACAGTTAGGGGAATGAAAATGGAAGCTGAAAATGAACACTTAGCTAGCCAAGATCCGCCAAGCAAATTCTCTTATACCACCTGAGTATGTGTAAGCGACCGGTCCATGACAATTGCAATTTCCTCAAGGAGGGGCAATCAAACGGTTGGTACCGACTCTATGGACATCTAGAGACCTACATAGGACTTTCG